TGTGCATGTCTTTGGGTTTGAGGTGAGTCTCTTGTAAGCAGCATATTGATGGGTCCTGCTTTTTTATCCATTCTATTACTCTGTCTTTTGATTGCTGCATTGAGTCCATTTACATTTATGGTGATTATTGAAACATATGTACTTATTGCCATTGCATGCTTTAGATTCGTGGTTACCAAAGGTTCAAGGTTAGCTTCTTTACTACCTTACTGTCTAATTTAACTCACTTATTGAGCTATTATAAATACCGTCTGATGATTCTTTATTTCCTCCCTTCTTATTCCTCCTCCTCCATTCTTTGTATGTTGGGTGTTTTATTCTGTGCTCTTCTGTGTTTCCTTTGACTGCCTTTGTTGGTAGTTGATCTTATTTTTTTGCCTTTAGTTAGTATTTGTTTGATCTGCTTTCTTTGTTGTGATTTTATTTTCTCTGGTGACATCTATTTAACCAAAGGAGTGCTTCCATCTAGAACAGTCCCTCTAGAATACCTTGTACAGGTGGTTTGTGGGAGGCAAATTCCCTCAACTTTTGCTTGTCTGGGAATTGTTTAATCCCTCCTTCATATTTAAATGATAATCATGTTGAATATAGTATTCTTGGTTCTAGCCCCTTCTGTTTCATTGCATTAAATATATCATGCCATTCTCTTCTGGCCTGTAAGTTTCTGTTGAGAAGTCTGATTATAGCCTGGTGGGTTTTCTTTTGTAGGTGACCTTTTATCTCTCTGGCTGCCTTTCATAGTCTGTCCTTGTCCTTGATCTTTGCCATTGTAATTATTATGTGTCTTGATGTTGTCCCCCTTGGGTCCCTTCTTTTAGTAATTCTGTGTGCTTTTGTCATCTGAGCGACTATTTCCCCTCCAGTGTGGGGAAGTTTTCAGCAATTATTTCTTCAAAGACACTTTCTATCCCTTTTTCTGTTCTTCTGGTACCCCTATAATGTGGATATTGTTCCATTTGGATTGGTCACACAGTTCTCTTAATATTCTTTCACTCCTGGAGATCCTTTTATCTGTCTCTGCATCAGCTTCTCTCCATTCCTGTTCTCTTATTCCATTAACAGCCTCTTGCACCTCGTCCATTCTGCTTTAAGTCCTTCCGGAGATTGTTTTATTTCTGTGCTCCTCCTCCCAACTTTATCCATTAGCTCTTGCATTCTTCTCTGCATCTCCATCAGCATGGTTATGACCTTTATTTTGAATCCTCTTTCAGGAGGATTGGTTAAATCTATCTCCCCGGGTTCCCTCTCAGAGGATGTCTGAGTTATTTTTGTCTGTATCAAGTTCTTCTGCCTTTTCATGGCAATAGAGGTAGTTGTACACAGTTGGCGCATGTGTCAGCTGGGAGAACAAAGTCCCTTCCTGCTTGCCTGTCACCTTCCCTTCCTGTGAGAATTGCAACCCCCAGCAGCTTGTGCTGGGCAGCTGCACACCAACGGGGCCTTTGTGTCTGACCTGGGCAGCTGTGGAGGAGGCTCTGCCCAGCTGCTGTGGGCATGGCCGGACTCAGGCTGCTGCTGCCCTATGGCAAGACATACTGGAGGGGGAACAGGCGGGAGGCTGTTTATCGCCGTGAGGTGCCTCATAGCTGCGCTGCCGCCCAGGAGGTTAGCGCGCCCAGAGTTCCCCGGGATTCCCAGCTGCTGGGCTGAGTGTGCCAGGATGCTGTGAGGCCTCTGTCCCTTTAAGACTTTCAAAAGGCACTTGCTTTTCTTTTGTCCCAGGGGCACCAGGTGTGGGAACCCGCTCACAAGTTTTACTGTTCCGTTTCCCTAGTATCCAGCACACCATACACTGTGTCTGCGCTCCCAGTGTGGATGACTAGGACTGGGTATTTAGCAGTCCTGGGCTCCCACTCCCTCCCTGCTCTGACTCCTCTCCTCCTGCCGGGGAGCTGGGGTGGGTTGCGCGCTCAGGTCCTCCCGGGCCATGGCTTGTATCTTACCCCCTTCGTGAGGCCCTGGGTTCTTGCAGGTGTAGATGTAGCCTGTGGCTGTTGTACTGTATCTTCTGGTCTCTCTTTTAAGCATAGTTGTATTTGTTGTATTTTCAAAAATATATATGGTTTTGGGAGGAGATTTCTGCTGCCCTACACACACTGCCATCTTGGCTCCTGTCTATTTTTGTTTTTAAATACTTACCTAGCAGGATTTTCTGTAACTTCCTAACTTCCTAAAGTATCAAGTTTCACTTTCTAAAATGTACCAAAATTGCGGGGGAGGGGGGCAGAGGGCAATACACTCAAATTAACTACATCATTTAACACTATAACTCTAAGCCCAAACTTAGTTTTCACTAAAACTAATGTGCTTTGAATATCATATATTCACTGAGCTGGCTTCCCATCTACTCCCTTTATCCATCTCTCATTCCTTTCAGAGATGAGTTTCTTATGCATCAGGCCAAGTCTTTCAACAGGACTGACCCAAACACTGTTTCTCTTGGGAGACACGGAAAACTAACTAACAGAAAAACCAATCAGCCAAGCACAGGACTGAAAACCTAGCTGGTGATCCATCATAACCAACCGAGAAGTTATTTATTTGGGTTTTGTTTTGTTTAAGGGGGTGGGAGTTTTCTCAGCCCATAGTCACCATGAGGCTTATATGAGAAAAGGCATGCCATTCTATCCTCAGATAGTCCAAAGAGTTGGAAGGGACAATTTACAGCCTCTTGTGTAAAAAATGTCTATAAATGCCAATGCCATCTTTGCTCTGTCAATTCCCATTATCCTAAACCAACAGGATTCTATTCACTGAGAGTTGAGTTGGAAACATGAACAGACAAGCCTTTCTTGGACAGGGGGAAAAGGGGAAGATGACTGAGCTGGGGAAGAACGCCAGATTTCTTTAAGTTTCTGTGTCCTGCCTAATGTGTATAGTGTACTAGTGAAGCTGAAAACTGAAATACATGAGCAGTTCTGCAAAAGTCAGCCTAGGAAGTATAGCAGAGATTTAGTGCCCTCAAACTGGTCATATGCTCAAGCCATAAATCTAAAATAAGATTTGGTGATCAGACTATGACAGTTAAAATAACTCAGCTGTAAACACTACTGATCTATGGCTCACTTCCTCTTACACTCTTTCTCTCTTTATCTTTTATACACTGGTCTGCAGTGGAATCTACTGAAGAAAAGTCAACAAGCAATCAGGGCCTTAAGCTGAGTCAAGCAAACAAACCCCACACAATGTAGATGACAGAAAGTCAGTTTCCCATTCCCTGTTCAGGGTACTAGGATGAAGAAGAGGTCCACACCACCTGGTAACCTCCGCTATTTGTACCATATCTAACCAGATGAGATTTGTACTTAGAAAACTGTAAAACAAAGTCAGTGACCAAATTTTATAGGAGGGAGTATTATAAAAAAGACAGAACCCCAGGACAAGGTGGAGAGAGGTGTGCTGACCTGGCTGTTCCATAAATATAAATCTAACCGTGTCACTAACCTTGGCCAAACAACCAAATACTAGGTGGCAAATCATCTCTGGGGATAGAGAACAGCTAAACACAAGACTCAGATCCAGGGAACTCTCACCAAGAAATGTAGCCAGCTGCAATTTCAGGATTTGGGTCTAGAAAAACTAAGTTCCAAAAAAAAACTACTTGAAAAAAAGAACACCTTCTTTTCTTATCTCTCACTCCCATTCCTCAAGTTTTTTTTCCCTCCACAGATTCACTCTGAGACTGCTTATATTCTACAAGTACTAAAAAATTCTGCACTACAGATACAGTGGTCTAGATATGTGCTCTGATAAAATTCCTCTCTGGAATGTGTACATATGAGCTAAGTAGGACGAGATACAATGTTCAATTTTTCAAATGTTGATGGGACACACAGACACAATTCTCTAGAAGAATAAAGTTATTGCTGAGATTCTCAGACATACCTAAAAAGAAGATAGATGAGAACAAGGGCCACAGATCTAAGGAATCCTTCCCCGTGGCCATCTAGCAAAACACAAATGATTTTTGGCTTAAAATAATTCTTCCCAATTAAGCTGCATGCTTATGTAAGAATTACATACTCTGCCCCTCTCTCAACTCCTAAATCTTTTTTATTTCATACAAATGAGCAAATCCTCCTACTGATCATCTATGGTCTTAGCATCAAGCTGGGCAAACAGACCTGGTGTTGTATTTCTGGTAAACATTAAAAAATGTAACCTAAAGGGAAGGAAGATATAGCATAGTTGTACACAAGATTATCAGTCCCACAGAGGCAAAACAAGTGGTTACTTTTTAGTGCTCAAGTTTTTTTTTTTCTCTTTAGCAAAAATATAGGACAGTTTTTTCTAACTGATTTCCAGAGAGCTAAATGCTTCCATACTCAAGTGGGAAATGATTTTATAATGGTTTTTCTGGTTTGAGAGTCTTCCCTTTACCCTGCCACCACTGCAACAGCCCAAAAAGCTCTGCCATTCTCACGGATCAGACAGGAAGAGGATACGGGACTAGCATTTTCTCTGATGTGCCTAGCAAAACTCTAAACACAAAATGCTCAGTAGGGCTGACTGCCCCAGAAAGCATGGTGTCAACAAAGCCAGCTTCTTTATAAACTAACTAATAACAGTTAGCATAGGGGCAGAAAGAATGAAGTAACTTTCTCATTTTTGTTACCCAGAATCTCCAAATTTTGTTTCTAGGGTCCTCTGACCTAAAGACAGGACTGTCTTCTCCTGATTATATAATTTCCATTATGCCTATATAAGAAGTTAAAGCAGATGCAACAAGTTTTAACATCACTGAATTCAACATCTTAACCAAGAGGAATATAGACCATGCTCTAATAGCCTGGGTGGAAACTATGAAAACAATCTGTGGAAAGAAACAATTAGCTTTGTGAAACAATCCCTATAATGTAATCAGCAGTCAGTGAGGGGAGGTGACAGTCAAAGGATTTTGTGAAACCAAGTGCTGAATGGCCAGCTACAATCTCACAAAGGCCATTTTCAACCTATGTAACTCTCAAGCTACTTCTCATGTTGCAAAAACAGTACCTTACCCTTCTGGAGATTGAAGAGACATTCAAACCAAATCTTTGAGCTCTTTCCTTTAGTTTATCCAGGTTAACCTACAAAAACATAAGGGAAAAAAAGGTATTAAAAAGAAAAAGAACCGAAAATACAGAGGGCAGAAACTATGATCCAAAGCTAAGCATTCAAATAAGCCTACAACATCAAAGATACCCTATGTGCCAAATTATAAAACTAGGCAGTACCATCCATGCTACGAATTATTAAAAGGCCTCTTCTGGAATGCAGTGAAAGATTCAGCCCTGCCTCCTTCATTCATCTAAGGTGGCCAGAACCTAAGGCGGTTTAGGAGCAAAGTGGGCCAAACACTATTTGAAAAAGCAAACAAATGTCTAAATCATCACCTCTAAACAAGTCCATTATTCACAAACCCAAATCACTAATTTCTATACAAAGTCTCGGCAACTAGTTCTTAACTATTTCCTAGCAAAGAGGAACTATAACTGCAACTCTCCCTCCTTCACAAGACAAATCTGCCATCAGCATCCAACTCAATTTTCTTCCTTCCTTTTTCTTGGAAGCCTTGACATATAAGACTTATTATCATAAAGATAGTTGGGACAATTTCACTATTACTACTACTATAATATTTCACCCTCACTTATCAATATTCAACTATAACTTCAAGAGCACGATTTCATAAAGCTAAACATATTTCACCACACATTTTATTCCACTTTCTACACATGCCAACTAATCACCATGTGTAGAAGGCATCTTACTCTACCAGTCTTTATTCTCTGACTTCATATTGGTTAGGTAGTATTTAAAAATACCAGTATCTACAAATGAAACTTATACCTGCTTCCACATATTCTCTTGTGGTAATTAAGAACTACACAATATCCAAAGCCACTGGACAAGGCCTAACCTCCTATACCATAAAAGACTTATATGGACTCTAGCTAACTAAATATGTTTTTTCAAGAAGAATGGAAAGAAAATGTCTGTAGTGACTTTGAAGATGTGGCAATTTTCCTGACCTCTCAGTACCTCCAACAACTCTTTTTATTTAGGACATAAAACAATGTACTGAAAACAAATGTCAGCGAACACATATCATCTAGGGCACATATCATCTACAACTTTAAAACGATAGACTTAAGATTTGGCTCTCAAGATATAAAGAAAGATTTCTTACCATAGGCTTGGGGTCAGATGACAGACCTAAAAAAGCAAACAGAAGTTTTATTTAATATTTTTTAAGTCATAAAGGAAGTTGACAGTCTTTAAGTCAAATTAGACAGCATAAAAATAGTATAGAGTACAAATTTCCTTTATCTTCTGATAAGAAAGAAAATGCAGAGATTGCATCTAAAGATGATGAATGCATTCACTGCTGATGGGAATATACAATGGTACAGCCACTTTGGAAAACAATTTGGCAGTCCCTCAAAAAGTTAAAAGATAAGTTATACCATGACTTAGCAATTCCACTCCTAGGGTATATACCCAAGAGAAATGAAAACAAACATCCACACAAAAACTTGTGTATGAATGTTCACAGCAACATTATCTACAGTAGCCAAAAAGTGAAAACAACCCAAATGTCCATCAACTGATGACTGGATAAATAAAATGTGGTATACCTGTACAATGGACCATTATCCAACAACAAACAGAAATGATGGACTGATACATGCTACAATATGGTTGAGCCCTGAATACATTATGCTAAGCAAAGTCAGTCACAAAAGACCACAAATTATTGGATTCCGTTTATATGAAGGCAAATTTACACAGAAAAAAATTAGTAGTTACGTTGGTGGGGCTGGCAGGGAGTGGAGGGAACAACTTCTAACTAGTGCAGGGTTTCTTTTTGGGGTGATATATGTCCAAAAATTAGAATGATGATAGTTGCATAAAACTGAACTATTGCTTTGAATGGATGAATTGTATGGTATATAAATTTCATATCAATAAAGCTGTTTGAGAGAAAGAGAGAGAGGACATATCTGGAAAAAAGAGCAGACTACTGTCAGTAAAATTATGGCCTCTTAAAAGCCAATGTTCTGTCCTGAAATTATCACTAAGAAAAAGGCAGTACATTGGACTGTAGGTCCAAAGCTAATCTAGTCGGTAATTATTTACTTACAACTTTTCAGAATTTTATAAACAGTCTCTGTAATTCGGTCCCTAACTCTCCACTGTAAACATTCATGTATGGATCCAACCTTTACCACAACCCATGTGCAAGGACCTGCTAGGTGCTCTCAGGTTCTCACTCATAAAACACTTCCTTTAAAATGTTACCAAAATTATATTCTTTTAAAAGCTATCAGCAGTTATAGGATGTTAGAATTAATATGAATAACACTGCAAATGTTTTATTTTATTCATGAGGTTTCCTGTTCCGACTAAGTATTAATTTTAAATTTTATCTTTCCTCAAACAGCACAATCTAATGTCTTCAATAATTTTTGTTGTACCATCATCAATCCTGTCATCTCTCTCTTGATACAACTAAAAGCCAGAAAAGATCTTGTTTCCAAAACATACAGTGATAGTGGTCAGAATTCTACTGGTCTTTTGAAAAGCACAGCAAAAGTCTACAAGACCTTTAAAGAACAATTTCTAAACCAACTTGAAACTACCAATAGGTTACTAGGAAGAATGAATTGGTTCAGGAGACTACATTTAAATTTTACATCTCTGAGAACAGGGACAATATTCTTTTTAAAAAATAACATATTTTTTTTCTCGGCGGAGCCAAGATGGTGGCATGAGTAGAGCAGCAGAAATCTCCTCCCAAAACCACATATATCTATGAAAATATAACAAAGACCACTCTTCCTAAAATAGAGACCAGAGGACACAGGACAACATCCAGACCACATCCACACCTGCGAGAACCCAGTGCCTCGCTAAGGAGGTAAGATACAAGCCCCAGCAAGGCGGGACCCAAGCGCCCCTTCACCCAGCTGCTGGCGGGAGGAGAGGAGTCAGCAGGGAGGGAGAGGGGGCCTAAGACTGCTGAACACCCAGCCCCAGCCATCCGGACCAGAGCGCAGACACAGTGTATGCGTGGGGTCCTGGATACTAGGGAAACAGGGCGGCAGGACCAGTGAGCAGGTGCCTGAGGCCGATGCCGGAGAACAAAGAAACAGGAGCGGCCATTTATTTTTCCTCTTTTCTTTTTTTTTTTT